ATGTATTAGAATTGTCAGGACCTTTGACCTCCTCTGGTTCCTTATCTGATCAACAGCTGGGAATGGCTGACAGGGAAGTTTTGAGAGAGTCTTCTAGTGGAGATGAGAACTTGGAAAATTTGTGGTTAAATGTAAAAAACAGAAGACGGTTGAGAAGGCAAAATCAGCTGGAGAGAATGAGGAGAGCAAGTCAGTAAATTAGCACGTTGCCTCAATGAGTATAAAAGGACACAGCTGGGCTGGTACAATTTGCCAGGAACAAAGTGACTTATTTGAGTGAGGACGTTACAGCAAGAAGCTCTGAGACTGGAGATTTATTGCCAGGACTGGTTTGCCGGACAGACTAAAGATTTATGCTGTGGATTGAGATTCTTGCCAGCCGTTATCTTGTAAGACTTCTTTCTGTTTGATTTAATTTGAAACGGCTGCTTTCTGTTTTGTTCGTTGGAATTTTGAAGGGGAGTCATAACATGTGTGTGTGCATGTTTATAAAGATATTCTTTATAATCAATAAAAGTTTGCTTTTATTTTAAATTCACTAGGTCTCTGTGTATTTTAAAGAACCGCTTGTGCCTAAGTGTTCAATTGAAAATGGTTTGAGTATGGCAATTTTCCAGTGAGTTATATGAGTGAATGACCTATCAGTTGAACTGAGAGCATACCATTCACATTAACCTAAAACGAGACAAGTGCTAAGGTTATGAGTAATGGATGCCTCAAGCAGCATGACTGAATACCATGCTTACGATTTCTGCCACATGAACATTAAACATATGTCATGCAGGATTGTAAACAACTTAGATTGCTCTTGTGAATGAGGGTGGGTTTTACATTTTGAAATAGCTAAGTAACTGATCATACAGATATGACAGACGAAGACATATTGTTTAATGTTCTACGTTATATTATTTTATTCTACTGGTAGTCCTCGCTTAATGACCATAACTGGGGTTGATATCTCATTGCTAAGTGACAAAAATGAGACATCAGGTGTCTGCAAACAGATTTATGACATCAATTCTGCTGCAGCTGTTAAGCAAATAACGCATGATCATTAAGTGCAAAATTGCAAGTTGCAATTTTACTGCTGATAGCTTCGTTGACTTTGCTTGTCAGAAGCCAGCTGTGTGAAGCACACCAATGGGAATCATGTGACCATGGGACACTGTAACAGTTGTAAACACACATTAGTTGTGAAGCACCCAATTCTTGTCCACATGAACATAGAGCAGAGGTGGTATTCAGCAGGTTCTGACCAATTCTGGAGAACCAGTAGTGGAAATTTTGAGTAGTTTGGAGAACCGGCAAATCCCACCTCTGACTGGCCCCACCCCCTTCTAGTCTCTGCCTCCTGAGTCCCAGCTGACTGGCTGGGTCTTCTTTGGTTGCCCTGCACAGGAGAATGGAGCTGGAAAGCAGGTTAGTGGGGTGGGGAGGGAATGGAGATTTTGCAGTATCCTTCCCCTGCCATGCCCACCAAGCCACACCCACAGAAGTGGTAGTAAAAAAATTTGAATCCCACCACTAAACAGAGATACTGCAATGGTTATCTAGTCATAAGGTTACTTTTTCACTGCTGTTGTGACTTTGAACAAGGGCAGTCATTAAGAGAGGACTATCTGTGCAGCTGTCGAGTTCTAATGACAAAGATTAAAAATGTGAAATAGAACAAGAGGGTTGCTGATTCTGTTGAGATTAGGCAGTAATTTTGCTTTGTCAAGAGAAAAGGAGGCTCTGATCCCACATAGGAATCCCCTACTCATATCAGGTCCCATTTGCTCTCCCCAATGAAATTTCCTGCACTCCATCAGAACATTTGTGGTAGGTAGCTCAATAGCCCAACCACTCAGAGAGTCTGAAAATGTCATGTGCAAACAGACTTGCTCTCTCCCTGGGGCTCTCCAGCCTTCGTAGCTTTATTGAAAAGACCAGGTGTCAGACTGGCCACAGCTTGAACCTCTAGATAAAATAATGATTCTTGTGTTCTGACCCAGCCGGGTTCCCAGACAGCAAACACAGACAAACTCAGTAACTCAAACCTTCACAGCTTTAATCTACAAACGAACTTCTTTGTAGATAAAAGATGTCTTGCAGCCAATTAGTCCAACCCAAAAAACCTTGACAGAATTCTTCAGATAAGCCGGAGTCTCTACACACAATGCCGAGTCCTTCGAACGTTTTTGCCTTCTACAGAGCAAAAAACCCTTTGAAACCAGGCTTATATTCCCTGGAGGGAGGAGCCATTACTTCGCATTCTTACTCCTGAGTCGCCTGTGCTGCTCCGGCTGTTTTCTTCTATGAATCATCCTGCGCTCACTTGCACTTAGCCCAGGCTCCTCGGGAACCTCCTCCTCACTGGTGCCAGCTAACCACAACATGTTGGCTCCATTTGATTGGGAAAGTATAGCTTTATTAGAGATTAAGTATATTGTAGCATTGCAAAGCCAGAATTGAAAATTGCACAATAAAAGTTCTAAGATCTACTTTTTCTTCCCTTAACTGTGTCTCATTGCCCACACCAATGTAACCAATCAGGTTCAGGCAAGATGTTTTCTTAATGTCAGTCCAAATGCAGCTTGATATGCGCCCCCCTCCTTCTTCCACCTGGGTGGCCTTGAGGTGGCATCTGGAAGAGATATAGAACTTACTTTCATTTCCCAAAGCATTTCCCCCCTTCTTTCCCCCTCTGCACAGTCTTTCCCTGCATAGCCGTGAAGCAAAAGCAAGCATAATGTGGCAGCTGACCTTGGGTCTCCAACAGGGCCTTCCCAACCCGCTACCCCCAAGTTGTTTGGGCTGTGTGAAACCGCCATTAGGAATGGCTCATCACTCAGCAGAGGATAGATTAGCTTGGCTTCTGGTAAAGAGTTCCAGTAGAGAAACTGTCATGCTGTTGCTTTAACTTAGGGTAGGACTTCCCAAGTGGTCAATATTGACCTCCAATGGTCAATAGGACTATCCAAGAGGTCAATAAATGGCTGTGGATCAAAGAGGGAGGTCAATAAATGGCTGCAGGGAGACAATAGGTCAGAAGATCAAGTGGGGTCAATTAATATTTTGGGGTCCCTTTGTGGGGGGGGGGGGGGGAAAGCGCACCCGCCTCACGCCTACCTCTCCTCCTGCAAATGGCCCGGCTGGATGAGGCAGGACTGGAAGGCAGACGCAGCAGCGGCGTCGGGGGCAGAAGCAGCAGCAGTGGCGGGGGCAGAAGCGGCAGCAGCAACAGCAGGAGGCCTTTTCTGTTGCTGCTTGGCCTGGCACTCGCCTCACCCCACCTTGCACCTGCCTCTCCTCCTCCTCCTCGCTGGCTCTGGCACGAAGGTTGGGGTGGGCGCTGGGCCGCATTACGAGGCGACCTGGGCCGCATGCAGGCCGCAGGCCGCGGGTTGGACAAGCCTGATTTAAATGGTATTTATTACATTATTTTCATGCAATAAACGATTGGAGGTCGATAGACAATCTGAAAGTTCATGAAAAGATCAGTGAGCTTGAGAGTTTGGGCACCCCATAGTTAGACACCACGCAATAGTATGCCATTCGTGAATTGGTCCTGAATTCATAGCCGAGAGGTCAGTCAGTACACATTTTATTTCTGATCTATTTTTATACCTAGCACACAAAATGGTCCTCTAAATATCACATTGATTTATTTTTCTAGTGACAGT